TTTATAATGACAAAAATAAATAATAATAAATCACTAATTCAAAGCAAAACAAAAAATATGCTTATAAAGTTAAAATAATTCTGTAACATAATTTTAAAATGTAATGATAATATTTATGAATTTTTTTTCTCTAGCTTTTTTCTTTTTTCACTACTTTTGAAAAGAAAAATATATTTTTTAATTTAAAGCACAAATAAAAATATGCTCATAAAAAATTATCAAGGAATTAGTAAAAAGAGAAAAATAAAGACAAGAACATCTATATTAAAAAAAACGTAAAAAATAAACAAACAAGAAAATTACCTGAAGAGTACTTAAAAATCATAAAAATTCTGTCACATAATTTTAACATGTAATTATAATATTTATGAATAAAGTTTTTCTCTAGCTTTTTTACGACTTTTGAAAAAATAATGAAAGAAAAATAAAAACAAGAAAATTTATATTTTGTTATATATTGTTTCTACCGTTTTTTTCCCCCGTTAAAGGTTTTTTTGGGGGAGTTTTTCCTTATCCGCTGGGAAAAAATTCTGTCACATAATTTTAAAACGTAATTATAATAATAATTATAAATATAGTTTTTCTCTAGCTTTTTTTTTTTCTTTTTTCCCTACCTTTGAAAAAAATAAATAAAGTTTTTTAAAAAATTAAAATTGTGGGACATTTCTAACCAAGTTGCTCGTTGCCTTTTTCCCCATGTTTGTGAAAGAAACTTGCTCAGGGTTCAAAGGTTAAAACACTTGCGAAAAAAGCAGCACAAGAAAAGTGATGACGGTCCAGGTTTCGAAGGGTTAATGCCCGATTTGTACATTTTGTGTTTATTTCCTTTCGTCCTGTTCTTGCCTCTGTACACACTATTTTTCTTTGCTCTTAAGAAGTACGTTAACTCAAGTATCGGCTGTGAATGCTTAATATCATATGAATCATAGGATGTGTTGTTGCTTTGAGTCAATAAATCTGAAAATGTTAAAGGTCACACCCACTTAAACATTTTCTTTATCATGACATGCTCTTGTTTTCATTTTTGTTTTCTGGCAGTTTTTCCTGCTTTACAGTCACATTTCTTTCCCTTTAATGAGCAGCCGTCACCGTCACAACCGTTCAGAGATATTTGTGATGCAGCGTGTCAAAGTAAGACAAAACATTAGACTGGTTTTGATCCCTTCTGGCCCAGTTTGGTGCTGGGTGGAAACCAATGGAGGCTTAACTGGGAGCAGATGCATTCAATGGCAAACACATAGAGTAACACTGACATCTAGTGGACACTGGAGACCACTGCATTGACCAGAACTACAATGAAGTTCAATAATAATGTTGAATAAATGGAAAAATATGCATCAAAAATTCAATTGAATTTGAGCGGTTTGTAAATTTAAGCTTCAGGTCGATTTTGTTAATATTTTCCCCAATATTTAAATTAAAATTTCTAATTTTGGACTCAAATCGACCCAAAAATGACTATTTTTTCATTAAACTCTTATTTAGAGTAAGAAAATGAACTTTTCTCTTCTCATCAAATAATTTCCTGTAATTTCCCACATTTTTTGGTTACAATGTGACAATAAAACACACATATGTCGAGTCCAGACGACAGAGCAGGCCTTCTCCAAACACTCCTGTGTGTGATCACATCACCTTTAATATGGTGAGCATGAAAAGATCGACTCAAACACTCAATACACTGTTAGAGGCAAAATATTGAAGGCAAATCCACAAGATATCATACGTTGAAAAGTTACAAAAAAAACATCATAACGAGGGGTTAACATGATGAATATGCTGTGCAGAAAATGTACAAAAAAAGGACGAAGGCGTGAGTCGGGTTAAGGCAATACGACATTACAATACACAATATGGGACAATATTGAAAAAAGGAGAAGACAAATATATATATTTATATACAGGTACACAAAGATACTGCAATCTGGAGCCTTGGCCTCCCGGGGTTTGAAGAGTATAACAAGTACAAATGTTTTTATTTTATCTAGAAGCAAGCAATGAGATATGTTTTATATGTTTATATGAATACTTTGTGATTGGACTGAAAGCACTCGGGGTTTTCAAGAGGTCACACGCCTCTGAAACGAGCGCTTCACTTTGTACTGAACCTGAAAAGATACCGTCCATCTGTGATGAGTGTTTGGTTTCATTTTGGTGAATCAGCTGTGGAGACACACTCTGTGGTTTTTGTTGTAGCACCTGAAAGCACCACCAACATGTCAAAAATGTCCTCTAAAACAACACATCAACAAATGTGGTGCTTTCAGGTGCTTTATTACAATGAACATTTTTTTTATATTTTTACATTTGCTGTGGCTCAATTTCACAAACATGTAACATGCAAAGATCCAAAATGAACTCATATCTTTACAAATTAAATTCTGTGCTTAAATAAAGTGTTAAATTTGCTTTACAACAGATGTTTTTAAAGATATTTTGAGCCTAAAAAATAAAAAAAAATTGCACATTATTTCAAGAAAATTGAGCCAAAGCAATCGTAACAAACTGTAGCTCAACCTGCCTCCTTTACTTCTGCTGTCAGTGGTTTACTACATTACCCAGAATGCCTTTCAACATCTCACTTGCTGCTAAGAAAGCGTTCACATGACATAGCGTGTCCCAAATCCAAACTATGAAACAGTTTTTGTACACTGTGTAACTAGTGAAACTGTGTACTGTGGTGATAACTGTGTATGTAGGATGGTTTTGGGACACGGGGGCAGTTTCTGACTTGTGACTAGAGTTCATGTCAACTTCCAAGTCATGATTAAGACTAGAAAACAAGTCTAGAACACAAATGTCATGGACTATGTGGACCATAATCCAACTGAAACAATCTATAACCGAATTATATTTGAAAAAGCTGCTGTTTTGTACATTACTTCTCCCATTCCTATATTGTTGGTGTATGAAAAATCAAATTCATAGTTGAAAAATGTCTGTTGCAACTTCTCTTAAATGTTTTGTGTGACCAACTGTCTCAAACCAAAATAATCTGTCTTCTGATTGGTTGTGTGACAATTCAACATACTGTGTATTCATAATATACAACAGTATCTCCATAAAATTTAGGTTTATTATGTTAAGGAGACATCCCAGGTGAAAAGGGTAAAAAATTTAGCTAACAGTTAATTATTAACACTAAAACTTTTTTTTTATTCTTGTATTACAAGTTTCTAGAATCTTATGTCTAAATATGAAAATTGTATGTTGACATATCGTCTCTCTTTATCAATCCATAATTCAGAAGAAACTGTCAACAGCCATAAAATGCATTTTTACCATATTTGTAGGAATAAAAAACTTCTCTAAATCAGGCTGTGAACGACACATGAACAAACCCCTCAGTAAAAACCTTCAGAATATAGATGGGAATGAAACTGGAAAATTTGGTGAGCTTAAGTGCTACTGAAGTAAAAAATTTTGGCTTTGAGTTTTGAATAGCTATCACTATTAAATGTCTTCAGCTGATTACCTACACTAAGACAATTCTTTTTGTATATTACAAGTTTTCTGAGATTTTATGTTTAAACATGCAAATATGGCATATTTATGTGCTACTGAAGTTCAAATTTTTTAGCAAAGAGCTTGAGAAAAAAAAATGTTTTTGAGAAAATGCCCTTTAAATACATGTTAAAGTAAAGTTTCATACATTTTTATACCGACATTTGGGGTGAAACTTTTCATAGATATCACCATGAAACTTCCCCACTTGATTACTAACATTAACACTTTTTTTTTTTGTATTACAAGTTCCTAAAATTTTGTTTAAATACAAAAAAATTTAGTTGACATATTGTCTCTTTTCATTAATCCATAATTCAGAAGAAACTGTCAACAGCCATTTAAAATGCATTTTTACCATATTTTTAGGAATATTAAGGTCTCTAAATCAGGCTGTGAACGACACATAAACAAACCCCTCGGTAAAAACCTTCACAATATAGATGGGAATGAAACTGGAAAATTTGGTGAGCTTAAGTGCTACTGAAGTAAAAAAAAATTGGCTTCGAGTTTAAGAAAACGCCCTTTAAATATATGTTTTGTAAAGTTTCATACATTTTTAGACCAAACTTTGGGGTAAAACTTTTAATAGATATTATCATTAAATGTCTTCAGCTGATTACTTACACTAAGACAATTCTTTTTGTATATTACAAGTTTTCAGAGATTTTATGTTTAAACATGCAAATATGGCATATTTATGTGCTACTGAAGTTCAAATTTTTTAGCAAAGAGCTTGAGAAAAAAAAATGTTTTTGAGAAAATGCCCTTTAAATACATGTTAAAGTAAAGTTTCATACATTTTTATACCAACATTTGGGGTAAAATTTTTCATAGATATTACCATGAAATTTCTTCAGCTGATTACTTACACCATGGTTATTTTTTTTTATATATTACAAGCTTTCTAAAATGTAAATTAAATGTGAAAATTTGGCTTTATTTAATTAAATAAGGGCTTTTTTATTAATTTCCACAACAGAAATCTGAACAACATGTTATGGTTATGCTTTCACCTGGGGTGTCTCACTTTGAACAACAGGCACTGGCGTCCATATTTGTTCGTCTTTTGATGCATTATCGAGCACAAAGTTGGACTTTCTGCAGCTTTCAGCAGACTCTGTATATCTCAGTTTGGGTGTTGGTGTGAACGCTGTTCACAAGTTGGAAACTTGTGACATGAACGCAGCACATTTCTAACGTGTGAACGTTCTGAAAGCACAGCTTCAATCTGTCTGATGTGTTTCCTGCTGTTTGAGTGTGGAAATTATTTTGTGTGGATCTGTGTTGTGTCTTTTCCCTTTGGTATCCTGGAGCACATAAAGCATCACAGATGGCTTCACTGATTTTCTCTTTTGGTTTTTACGTCACATATTCAAGTCTGCAGTCACTACTTTTATTTTAGTTTCTAAAATCGTCTGAAACCTACTGATTCTCTGAGAATTATATTTTTAAAAAGTACAAAAGTGCTGAGAACTCGTGCCACAAAACTCAGACAAAAGTCAGATCTCGTGGATCAGTACTGGATGAAACAACGCACATGTCTTGCAGTTTGAGGCTTTCTCACGGCGCTTCGTTTCAATCTAAGTGCTGAATTGTTTTTTAAAATAAACAGACAATCGAAGACAATTAAAAGGCACATGTGAAGTGTTCATCTTTTTTTTTTTTTTTCAATTTTTTCCCTCATTTAAAATATACAATAGCTGCCTTTAATCGTTTTACTTCTGTGTTTTTGCTGCCGGGGCGACTCGTCGACCGATGCTCCCGATCCGAGCAAGAACGTCGATAAATTAACCACAAAGACAGGAAGAGGAAAGAGGAAGAGGACGGAGATATGGACAAAGGGTCCACTCTCAGATTAACATCCTGGTTTGGAATTTTCAGGGGTTTGAATCTAAAAAAACATTTTTAAAAGGCAACTTTAAGGCACTGAGACTCAGTCTGGGTCATTAAAATGTAGAATTATTATTATAATTATTCAAATAAGACACAATAATGAGTTTATCATCCAATATCTATAAAATCTAGAGGATCCAGCACTAAAAATTTTCTTCTCCTGCTTATGAAATCTTTTTGTTATAAAGCTTAGAGTTATTTTCTCTTCACAACGCTTTGGCAAACACTTGCAGTGCAAAAAAAGAAATAAATCTCAAAAATTGGCAACTAAGGCAAGGGCGAGTTTGGTTTTACAAATATTCTCGTTGGAAATGTTTTAAAATCTGAACAGACTGAGCCTGCTGTCACGTTAAGGCACTGTCTGTATTTTTCTTTCTCCCTACAACAGGAAAAGAAACTATAAGAAAAGAAAAAGGACGAACTGGCTCAGTGATAAAAGCTCTGACTGAATGCTTTTAAAATTCACAAGAGAGGCACTAAAGAAGCAGCTGTGTTCACTCAATCGTCTTTAAATCTTTAAAAAACATAGTTTGTTAGTAGGATGATGTCGTGATTTCGTTGTGCGTTTTCTTTTTTATTAATACCCTGTCTGCAAAGCAAATCTCCCTCGCCGGGACAGTGAAGAGTTGAAATGCACGTTTTTCAAAAGGACAAAAACAGCAACAAAAAATAAAAACAAAGATATATTTTATCCTTCTGAGCGCACGTTGTTGGGGAGAGTCGGAGACGGCAGAGGATTGACAGGGTGTCGTCTTTCTTTAGCTTTCGTTCAGTTCAGACATTCAGGTGTCAGCCGCTGTGTGGAGACAGGCGTGAATGCTCGGGGCTCTTCGTCGGAGGTGAGGAGGGAACCAACCCGCCCACTCCGTCCTCATCCTGTAGGGCTTTTCTCTTGTCTTAAAACAGGCAGGTAACACTGCACAATAAAGTCTGTTTTAGTCTATATTAAACGATGCCTTTCTGGGGGGCGCTGTTGAGCAAGACATGGGGTAAGACGTGCTTCTCAGGGCTCCTGCAATGGCATCCACTGCACGTAATCATATTTTGTTTATCTATAATTTCAAAACTCTGACAGTGAGCGCGTTAACATGGACAGTTTAATTCCCTTTTCATTCGGAATGAAAGTTCATTCCTATTAAAAGTGATCTTGTAAACACCTAATTCAGAATGAAAATTGCCAATGTTATTGAAATTTCAATCTGATTTAATTGGCTGGAATATTCTTTTTCTAATTCCTAATGAAAGAATTTCTTTCACTTGTATACACTCATTCCTCTTTAAGTTCATTCTGGTCTTTCTGCGCATGCTCGTTTCCTTGCCCTTCTGGCGCCATGATGTATACAGCGCTCATAGCAACAGGCTGAGATAGAGCAGTCGGACTCGTTGCACTCACCGGTTTCCATTCGCCACAGCACGGTCTTCTATCTCCCTTCTTCGACCTTCTACCTCCCTTCTCCTCCTCAACAGACGAAGCATTAGCAGAACAAGGTTGTTGTCGTACTGCTGCTTCAAGAATATAAGCAAAACAAGCCCGAAAAAGGCACTAAGAACGCCGTCGTCAAGCATCTGCCCCGCCCCCTATCCAATCAGAAACCTTCCCTGCCCCAAACCTTGCGCGGACCCCAATAAAGGCGATTAAACTGATCTCCCGTGTAAACTCTCATTCGGAATGAATATTTCCCATGTAAACCTGGAAAGACTTTAATTCCGAATGATTTCCTTCCACATCGAGTCCTCCAGGTAGCCCCGCCCGACCTGCTACCCAGTTACAAACATGGACCTGGAGGCAACAAAGTCCGACATCCTCTCGTCAATGATAAGGCAAGAACTGAAGAATGCCCCAACTGAAGATTTTGATGCTCTAAAAAGTAAACTACGAGCGTCGAAGGCTGAAATCGTGAGCAACACCGCAGCTGTCAGGTCCGAGCAAATAAAAGGGGACGTTAAGGACGCTGAGGAAGGACTTTGTTCTGATAAGATCAGGTGCGGACTGGTCATCAAGGGTGTCAAACATACGACTGCCTGAAAACTTCGACTCTGTTGCAAGACTCGCGCAGCGTGTGTGTGTGGGTTTTACAAGAGAAAAGCCTGAGGATGAGGACGAGGGGTTGATTTGATTGACAACCTCACCTCCAGTAAAGAGCTGCATGGAGCCGCTCGACTGGCCGATGATGAGCGACAACCCAGACAGGCTGCAGCCAAACTTCCGTCCATCAACATGGTAGAAAAAACCCCAGATGTGCTTGCGTTTAAATCCCTCCAACTTGATCACGATTGCACAAAACAAATCTTTTTTTTTTGGTACAATCCAAGCAGTGGAAACAACCTCCTCCTCCTCGAAGAGCAGCCGTCCTGAACACTTAAAGCTTTCATCACTGTTTTCTAATGAGAAGAAAGGGGAGGCGTCCTGTCGTGTCTCCACGTGCTTCCTGGGCACATTCTGTTCTTCAGTCTGATCCACTCTCATGTTTTTGCTTCCTTTTAACTGCCGCTTCAGTCCGAGTCGGGATCCTCTGCCGTCCACAAGCTGCAGCAGCTGATTCCTATTTGTTCTCTGAGTAGTATGCGTTCCCATTGGGCAGCGAGGAGAAGGGGAAGCCTCCGTTACCAACGACCGGACGGCTGTTGATCTGTGAAAGGAGAAAGGACACAGATTCAGTGCGACGTCGTCGTAAATAAAGTCATAAAAAGTGTCCCCAATCAAGTTGAATTTGAGCAGAAACTCGGTTGCAATCTACAATTCTCTCCACTAGATGTCACCAAACTGCTCCTTTAAATAAAAATAAGGCTTCTTCAGATAATAAAAACAGCATCACTGATTTACCTGTGTCTGTTCACTGAAGTTTAGGTACGGCTGTTGTTGCACCAGCAGGCCATTCGGGTCGAGACCGGCCGTCATCTGGCAGGACAGTGGCGCCTCATCGGGGTTGGGGATAGCCGTCATCCCCGGCACGGCTCCACCTCCGGGGAGACCCTGATAGAAGCAGGAAGGCTTGGAGGGAATCTGGTTGCCAGCGGGGTTCAGTCTCTGGCAGGGGGGCGGCTGACTGAGGTGCACTCCGTTTACAGGCACAGAGGTGGGGGCATTACTGAACATACAACTGCTAGGTTGTGCAAGAGTCGGCGGCTCCACCACTGGCTGAACAGGAAATGGTACATCAGGAGTCTCTTGAGTCCTGAATATGGGCCTGCCGTTGACGGTGTTCTGGGCCGTGACAACTCCAGGGAGAGTATTCCGTTGAAACCCTGACATTTGGTTGAGGCAGGCGTCCATTTGTTGGTGTCCACCTGTGATCAGCTGCTGCTCCAGCGGCCAAGACTGTCTCTGATTCTCGCTGTTCTGTGTCTGAAGTGCAAAGTGGCCCTGTAAGCAGCTGGACGAGGAGGGATCTGCGGTAAAAGCCGGTTCGTTTGAAATATTTTGGGTGTATGTTTCTACAAAGTTGTCGGCTTGGTTTGAGTTGGGGACGGACGAGTTCCACTGGTTTCCCTGAAAGTTGAACACAGGATTTAACTGTCTCTTTGCGCTTTGGTCCTGGAGGCCGACTGGTAGGTTGGGCGTCCGCATCTGAAGGTGGTTCTGCATTGGTTGAGCCATTTGGTTAGGGTGGATCTGATTGGTTGAAATTTGCCTGAGCGTAAACTCTCCGAGGTTGTTGTCCTTAGCGGCTTGCATGTTCCTCACTTGGTTCTGTGTTTGGGCCACCATGGGAGGGTTGAAGGTAACTGGAGCGCCAATGTTGCCTGTGGTTCCCATTTGAAGTCCAACAGAAGCGGGGAGCTGTGAGGCGATCTGCTGAAGGGTTGGACCGTTTAAACCAGAACTCATCTGAGGGAGATCCATGTGGGTCAGTTTCATCATCCCCAGGGCCGGAGTCGGCTGTGCGGCTACCATCTGCCCTCCATTTGTTATCAGCTGGTTCTGGGGCTCCATAGGCCAGCTGAAGTTCTGCTCCACGCCCTGCTCTGGATTCTGGTTCTGGAGCTCCAAAGTGGAGAGGCAGGTCGGTATGTCATCCAGCTGATCTGGCAGCTTGAGTGTGCTCTCCTTCTGGAGCTGCTCCTCCACGTATGACAGGATGTCGTTGCTGAGAATGTCCAGGTCTTCGCTCATCTCGCAGCTGTTGTTGCTCATCTTCAGCAGGGTGCTCTCCCAGCTCTTAAGCTCGTCGGGCCCCACGTCCAGGGCGTCGGCAAGGTCGTTGTCCCCAAGGATCTGCTGAAGGGTCTCCATCATGTCCTGAACTGAGGCCTCGGACTTCACCAGGCTTCCCACAACAGGTCTGGGCGAAGTGAGCTGCCACACATCTCCAGGGACGCTGACTGTAGCGTGGGTGTCCTGGAAGGCGATATCACTGACGGAGTTGAGGGTGTTGGTGTTGTGTTCACAGTAGATAGACTGGTCCTGACTCAGCATGCTGCCCAGTATGGAGCTGGGGCTGACAGAGTAGCTGTCTAACTTCCTCTGCTTGGGGGCCGAGCATGGGTCGGGGACCTCGACAGTCGGAGTGACATCGTAAAGTAACGCCTCTCCTGTGGTAAAGTTGAACGGCAACTGCAGCCTTCGGAGACGCAGCTGCTCTTCCCCTTCTTCATTTCTGTGGCAAATAAAAAAACAAGAGTGGGTCGTTGCTCCGACTGCAAACCATCACTATGAAACACTTTTAGCTCTTTGGTTGTTAACTTACGTCAAAGCTCTTTGCCGGGCCACGATGAAGTCTGGTTTCCCTGCTTTAAAGACCAACCTGGCGTTGGCCTGGACCCAGACCCATGTCCCAGTTTTGGCCAGAAGCCTGAAGACGGTGAAGCCGCTCTCTCCGGTTTTTATCACTGGAGACGACACAGAAAGAGTCAGATATATTTATCAATATATTGATTCACACACCAACATATTGGAGATCTAGAAACATATTGGACCTGACAGAAGTCTGAATAGAAAGCCATCACATTAGAGTAAAGGCTGCACAAATGAATCTTATTCTGTTTTTAAAGGACCCTGTTATAAATTAATAATCTCCATCTGTGTCTTTTATGCACAAAGAAAATTAAATCAGTTGAATAAACCATGAAACACTGTGAGAGAGAGAGAGAGAGAGATCCATCTTCGAAAATCAGATTGGCCGTTAAAAACTAGAATTACCTGCCAAATATTAATAAAATGTCTGAAAAAAATAATAAAATGTCCAAAAAAATATTATAAAAGGTCTGAACATAAATAAATAAATAAATAAAATGTCCGACGACTACAAATAAAGTGTCCGGAAAAAATATTAAAATGTCCCCAAAAGAATTTCAACAAATACTAATAAAGTGTATGAAAAAATATTACTAAAATGTCTGGGAAAGAAATTAATAAAATATCCAAAACAAAATCAATGAAATGTCCCAAAAAAATTATGAATAAAACGTCTGAAAAAATATCACAAAAGATCTGAAAAAAATCAATAAAATGTCTGAAAAGTTATTAAGAAAATGTCCAAAAAACATCAATAAAATGTCCCAAAAAATATGAAAACAATGTCCAAAAAACTATTATAAAATGACTGAAAAATTTCTATAAAATGTCCAATAAATATGAATAAAGTGTCTGAAAAAATATTAATAAAATGACCGAAAAAAATCAATAAAATGTTCTTCACGCACAGAAGATCTATACAATCAGCACAGTTTCAAGATTAGAGTCACCAATCTTACCAAAATATCATGATTAGTGTATGAATTCTTGAGTTATGGCAAAAAAAACATGTTTCGTGAGATCACATTGACCTTTGACCTTTGACCACCAAATTCTAATCAGTTTATTCTTCAGTCCAAGTGGATGTTTGTGTCAAAGTTAAAGAAATTCCCTCAAAGTGTTCTTGAGATACCACGTTTACGAGAATGAGACAGATGCAAGGTCACAGTGACCTTGACCTTAAACCCAACGTCCAATCAGTTCATTGTTTAATTTAAATAAATTCCCTCACAGTGTTTCTGAGATAATAAGTCAGATGAGGTCACATAGACTTGACCTTTGACAACCAAATTCTAATCAGTTAATCTGTGACTCAAAGTGGACATTTACGCCAAATTTGATAAAATTCCCTCAAGCTGTTCTTGAAATATCTCGCTCACGGGAATGAGATGGATGCAAGGTCACAGTGATCTTGACCTTTGAACACCAAAATCTAATCAGTTCATCCTCGAGTCCAGGCAGACATTTGTGCTAAATTTGAAGAAATCCCCTCAAAGCGTTCTTGAGATATCACCTTCATGAGAATGAAACGAGGTCACAGTGACCTTGACCTTTGACCTATGCCTTTGGCGGTCATAGGCATGAAGGCATAATATTTGTCCCCTCTCGTTGCCTCCTAGTCTTAATCAATAATTTATTTAGGTCGAAAATGCAAATTCTCTCATCTGAGAAGCTGCAACAAGCAAATATTTGAGCTGTTTACTAAATAAAAGACATGAAATGAAAGTAAAGACGTGACTTACTTCTCATGTGGTTGTCAGCGCAGTACATCATGTCTGCAGCGTGGATGAAGTAGTAGCCCGACCCTTTCATACAGAGCTCCACTTCGTCGTAACCCAGAACCACCTTCCCTCTGCGGAAGACAGAAATCAACTCAAATAAAACACTTCAGATGTTTGAGTTAAAGGTCAGAAGTCATGAGTTTCAAGTTTTGTTTTTTCAAGAAGAAGTTATCCAAATCTAATATAGCCATCGTAAGTACGTAAGAACACAGCTCAATCTGCCGCCTCTACCTGGCGTCGATGCCCATGGGCGTGAAGTCCAGCTTGTGTTTGGTCTGGAAGATGAGCGTCTTGGCGCGGATCTCCAGGATGGACGGCGGCTGCATGGGCGTGGCGATGGAGAACAGAGCGAGCTGCGGGGGAACCAACGTCCCGTCCTCAGACACCCGGTTCTGACCGTGGATGAACTTCAGCCGGCCGCGGAAGTTCAGGGCCTGGAGACAAAAAGCCAAAACAAGTTTGGCTGAGCTGCAGGTTCAGGGACAGTTTTCCGCACTCGCGACTGAGTCACGTTTTAAAAAATGTAACTTACCAGGAAGCCGGAGGAGTTGTCGAGCAGGCAGCGGAAACGGCAGCAGAAGTTCCTCTCCAGGAAGGAGGAGTTCTCTGGAGGGATGGCCTGCGGGTCGTACGCCATCACGTTGGTGCTGATCTCCGTGGAGTTCTGCTCGCCTGCAGCAATGAGGAAATATTTACCATCCAGTTCCATCTAAGGTTGATGATTAGTGCTGCTGTTACTAATCAGGATGGAGTTAGATTAGAATAAATGATTAACCCTTCCTGTAAAGACTGATTTTATGTTGGGTACTACGTTAAATGTTTACAGCATATTGTGGAGGGAGTTGCTCATCTTTAGCTGCGCCCTCTACAGGTAAGTGATGAGGTGTGTTGGTCAGATATGACACAGGTTTATATACTGCAGGATGAGCAGACTCACTGGGGCTCGCTGCAGTGCCGTCTGGCTGGCTGTTATTTGGGTTGAGGGCGAAGTGAAGCTGCCGTCTGAAGAGCGCTCGGTCGTCTGTGTGGATCAACTCAAAGACGCTCTGATGGACGACATCGGACTGAGAACAGAGACACAAGTCATCATTAGTAGTGGTCGCAGTACTAGTAGTAGAAGTAGTAGTAGCAGAAGTCGTAGTAGTAGAAGTAGTAGTAGTAGTAGTAGTAGTGGTAGTGGTGGTCGTAGTAGCAGTAGAAGTCGTAGTAGTAGAAGTAGTAGTAGTAGTAGTAGTGGTGGTCGTAGTAGCAGTAGAAGTCGTAGTAGTAGTAGTAGTAGCAGTAGTGGTGGTCGTCGTAGTAGTAGAAGTCGTAGTAGTAGAAGTAGTAGTGGTCGTTGTAGTAGTAGAAGTTGTAGTAGTAGTAGTAGGAGTAGTAGCAGTAGTAGTCGTAGAAGCAGTAGTGATGGTTGTAGTAGTAGTAGTAGTCGTAGTAGCAGTAATAGTGGTCGTTGTAGTAGTAGAAGTCGTAGTAGTAGTAGTAGTAGTCGTAGTAGCAGTAGTAGTGGTCATTGTAGTAGTAGAAGTCGTAGTAGTAGTAGTAGTAGTAGTAGTAGTGGTGGTCGTAGTAGCAGTAGAAGTCGTAGTAGTAGAAGTAGTAGT